AATTGATAGTTCAAAGGCAGCGTGTAGACTGGGCAAGGTTAAAATATCCAATACCAAATTTTAATTTGTAATTTGTTGTGTGGTAATCAAAGCTTACTTATGTTGTTTTACTGTAAATAGTTAAACGCTTATAAATATACACAATCAGAGATTGGAACTTTTTGTTGACCTTGTTTTGAGATGGGTCTTTGTTTTTGTACTTTGTAATTTAATTTTTTGTAGCACTCCATGTTGTACGCCATGTTGAGTATGTTCAGAAGAATATAAATAAAGCCATATAAATAATAAATATTTGATATACTGTATATTTTTTACATTCGTAATTCATTTTACACATAATTTTACATTATTTTTGGTAGTAAACGAATTTAAGCAACAAAAAAACTGAGGAGCCATTTGGGAGCCGAAAGAGCCGGCTCTTTTTAGTGAGCCGAGCCAAAAGAACCGGCTCTCTAAAAAGCCGGAATTCCCATCACTAGTGAGGAGTTTGCATTTTCTCCCCGTGCCTGCGTGGGTTTTCTCCGGGTACTACGGTTTCTTCCCGCATTCCAGAGACATGCATGACCTGTTAATGGAGCACTCTAAATTGTCCCTAGGTGTGAGTGTGAGCGCGGATGGTTGTTTGTCTATTTGTGCCCTGTGATTGGCTGGCGACCAGTTCAGGTGTACCCCGCCTACTGCCCAAAGACAGCTGGGAAAGGCTCCAGCACGCCCCGCGACCCTTGTGAGGATAAGCCGATCAGAAAATGGATGGATAGATAGATAAATCAGGTGTAATTTTAGTCATTGATGCAGGGTTAACAACTTTTTTTTCTCGGTCAACTTCAGAACTTTTCTGGGTACAATTTTGAGCTGGCCAAAGTAAAACCTCTCCTCTCTCATGAACACTTTGAGACAGTAATTCATGCCTTTGTCACATCCCGGCTCGATGACTGCAATGCCCTTTACTTTGGAGTCAGCCAGTCCTCCATTAAGCGTCTCCAGCTGGTCCAGAATGTCGCTGCTCGCCTCTTGACTGGTACTCGTAAGAGGGAGCACATAACTCCTATTCTGGCATCCCTTCACTGGCTCCCCATACATTTTAGAGTTATTTTCAAGATCCTCTTATTTGTTTTCAAGTCTGTAAATGACCTCGCGCCACCTTACCTCTCTGAGCTCATCCGCCCCTACACACCTGCCCGGCACCTCAGGTCTGCGGACCAGACATTATTAGAAGTACCAAGAACTAAACTGAGGCTCAGAGGGGATCGAGCCTTTTCTGTTGCTGTTCCCTCTCTCTGGAATGACCTCCCACTGAACATTCGGCAAGCCTCCTCGCTGCCCATCTTCAAAACCTTTGATTTAAATTTTGCAACGTTCTCCAGTTTTGGGCTCGTCATGTGTTGGGTGATTATTTTGTGGTTTTCAAATCAAAACGAACTTGCTCTTCAACAAAAATCTAATTTCGTTCACGAATTGTTGCTTAGTTGTGGTGGGCCACCATGTTGAATGTCGCTCTCTGGTCCGATTCTCGCTGTGCTTAATCACATAACCATTCTGTGCTTTCTCGCTGCTATGTGGCTTCCTAGTCCATTTCCAAAATCTAAGGGGTGAGATACCTGATGTATTTTCCCTTAGTTTATTGTAATATAGTATGTTGCATTGAATCAAATAATATATTTGATTATTACTACATGTTAGTGTCTTACCCATTTCCCTTTCGATTAATCGCTTAATACAATAGTATTTAAATTGTGACAAAGAACCCCTACTTATTTCACAAGTGGCTTCGTCCTAATTTGGCGCGAAACGAAAACTAAAGCTACGCCCTTTCATGGCTCCAACTTGCATCGGGCTAGTCAATATTTGTCCATAGAATACCGGATATCTTACTATTTCTTTCAGGGTAAAAGTTTATATCATGGCCGACAGAGATTATGAAGTAATCTTAGCGGTTTCTTTTATGTTGAAAATCTCAAACAACGCTTCACGTCTTTCTCAACGTGTGTTTTTTTAGTGTTATCGTTGACGTTGTTGAAAATTACCGTTCCGAAACCGGAAGACTATGTTGGTTTTAATAGCGTTTAACTGACATTCGTTTATTTTGCTATTGAACAGCTGTTTATATCCAGTGTTTCTGCAGTTGTACGTACTGCCAGTTGTGACTTCGTAATTGATTTTTGGCTAACTGCGAAATAGCTTTTGTATTTTCGAACGTTTTCTATTTAATTCTATTTACTTTTTCTCCGGATAAAGTGTTGTGCCTTCCGTTGGAAACAATGAGCTGGTAAGATGCATCAGTTATTGCTTCTATTTGTTAAGCAGTTGTACTCTTTACATGCACACCACGTGTTCAGTTATGAACGATCGGGGACTTTGAAGTATTCAAAATGCAACAGCACTTTCCGGTCTCAAAATATATAGTTACCTTATTGTTAGTAAGCCATTTTTCGTTCAGGGTAGCGTAGCGGCAAAAATGCCATGTTAGGCACCAACATCAGAGCGCAAACCCAAGACGAGTAAAGGACAGGTGAAAACGTCTTCTTTTTAGTTTTTAATATTCATCGGTCTTAAATTCGCAGGTCAGAAATACATTGGCTGAAATGTGGGCTATATGCTTCAGGGGAGAACAAAAATTAAACCTTAAGATGCTTTTCCAAGCGCCAGTGCATTTTCTCTTTTACCTTACTCTGACTGCATCTCGGCTGCTTCCACTTCCTAGTACTGTGTCCGTATTGCAAGGCGCCTGGGAATTGCTAAAATGTGCTGTGATGTATTGTCCAACTTCTTTATTTTTTAAATTGTATCTTTGAAAAAATATCCTCACGCGCTACATGTAGCTGCGAGATCAGGTTTCTAATTGCATAGTTAATTCCCCATTGATTATGTTGAAAACATTAGATTTGTCAATACTGTGACAGTTCAACTTTTCATCAAACACCACAAGGAACGGTTTTCACCTTGTTTCACATGTGTGTCCCTCTGCCCACCCTTGCAACCTATCCCATTCTCCATGGACAGCATGAAACAAGAACCTCGAAGTGTTTCCCCTCACTGCCCCAAACCTGATGAGTCTGAGGAGCCACTGGGAACAGCAATGGAAACAGAAGCTGCTAAGGGTACGTAAGAAAGTACATTAGCCTAATCGGGAAGCTAAAGATGGCCCCAGAAGAGCAGCTGCTGACTGATTTTTAGAAAGTGTAATGGATTCTTTTAATATCTCAAAATCTGATAGTCATGACGTCAGACAAACACACACATCGTTGCATGCCGATAGACATAGCACAATGTGTTTAGTGGAACAATAACATTCTCATTAACTGATATTCACATCTGGGAATGATTCTTGTTTTTTTTTTATGTATGTATTTATTTATGTGTTTTTTGTGGGGGGTCCAAGATACCAGTTTGAAAACTGAGAATATCCCATCTGAACCAATTGTCACCAAAGAAATGGAGGAAGAGGAGCAACATCTGATGGCAGAAGGAGAAAAGAGAGCGAAGGAAATGAGGGAAAAGGTTTGTTGCTATCAAACTAACCAGTCACAATGCTTAATTACATAGGACTGTACCACAATCATGAAAGGTACATTTTAAATTGACTTCTTAATGTTGGTTTATTCAGCTAAATGGACAGCCTGTCCACCCATCAAGTGTGAAATTAAACAAAAAAAAAAATTCTGCCTATTTCTGAAAACATCTGGTGAGTCGTGCTGCACTTTTGGTCCACTGTTACCATCTGCGGCCAATTAATATTAGAACTATCCTCTCACAGAGTTTCTCCACCACTGATCTGATCATGATAAATCAACTTCGCTGCATGAAGTTCCGGAGTGAAAGAACCACTTTGATGCCGAAATGGTGCTTATGCTAAGGACAATCCAATACAATCTTCTAAGTGGGCACTTGCTTTAAGAGAACTCACTGTATGTGTTTGTGTGTGAGGGATTATGGTCTAAGATCAAGTGTTTGTGTCACCATTTGAAACCCACCAGGCTCAGCAATCTCTGGAGAGAGAGAGTCATGAAATGCGGTTTAAAAGACTGCAACATTTGCTCCAGAAGAGTAACATCTACTCTAAATTCCTGCTGACTAAAATGGAGCAACAACAGAATGAGGTATCCGTATGTCTCAATCCAGCAGTTGCCTTATTGGCCAAATCTATCTTTTTCAATGATTGGTGCTCAGACAGTTTAGTCCCAAAGAATTGTCCTTTGATTTGTCTTTCTCCGTGCCAGGAGAAAATCAAGAAGGAAAAGCTTGAAAAGAAGGCCAAGAAAGTGAATATATTTTTCTGATTATGAATATTTTATCAAAAAGCTTTCTCACAGGCATAATAAATGAACCTGTTTGTTTTTTTATGTAGAGTACGAACAGCACTGGGCCTGGAAAAGGTATATGCTTATTTATTAACAAAAAAAAAAACCCTCAAAATGCTAATTACTTATGTTCTAAGTGTTTTTTTTTTCCTTTTGATTGTTCATTCCAAATTAGATAAAAAGAAGAGACGAAGGGAGGATGACTACAAAATTGCTGATGTCATGTCCAAAGAAGTATGGTCCTGTTTGACTCTTACCCCGCCCCACTTCTCGCCCCCCAATCCGCTTTCTGAATAATGCTTTATTTTTCCTGCAGGAAATCATGTCGCAGGCCAAGAGAATTAAAGTGGAGGCAGAGGTAATACGTGTGGCTTTTTTACTTTAACCTTTAAACATTTCAAGATGAGGTGGCAAAGTCTGATTTCTTTAAACCATTGTGTGAATGCATGTGCAATTTCATGGCAGGAAGCAGCCACAGCCCAGAAGATGCTGGATGCCAACGATATCGAAAATATGAGCGACACCAATCAAGACATCAAGAATCGTTTGGCAGAGACGGTGCGAGACAATGCCAAACATCTCCTGGATCCTGACAGGAAGGTGAAAGGAGAGCCAGTTCCCGCTCAACAGCCACACCTCTTCACTGGTGGGGTCATGAGGTGGTACCAGATCGAGGGCATCGAGTGGCTTCGAGTGAGTCGATTCAGCCTGATTCAGGAAGTGATGCTTGTATGCCTTGCCCAAGAAAGCCCCTTTCTTTATTCATGAAAGGTTATTTAAATCCTAAATGGCAACTTAATCCTGAAGAAGCATGTTGATGTTTCATGCGCTAATGACTTATATGCAATGTTTTTCCTGGTAAAAGACTTGTTACTGTTTGTGTCCATTGAAACATGCCTCCAAGCATGCATGTCTCAGCCAGTCGCTCAGAACACGTTTGACTTTATCGTGACTTTCAAACTTGATGCCAATTATTGTGAACTGCTGAGGCGCAGGTCAAGAAATACATAAAGAACAAACGCAGGTGTCATCAGTCAGAAGGAGTCATCTTGCATCATGACAACGCAAGGCCTCACACAGCAGCCCAAATGGTGCAGACCATCAACAAGCTGGGCTGGGAACTGCTCCCCCATCCCCCTAACAGCCCAGATTTTGCCCCTTCAGACTTCACCTGTTTGGTCCCTTTAAAGTGTTTGCGAGAGGCACGAAGTTTGAAAGTGACGAAGAACTCAAATGTGTGAGCGACTGGCTGAGACGTCAGTCCAACGATTTTTACGCTGAGGGAATATAGAAGCTTATGCATAGATGGGAAAAGTGTGTGACAGTGCTACATTGAAGAAAAAAAAAAGTAAGCTTCTGTCTGGATTAAAAGTCCTTATACCGAAAAATTGACCCTCTTCATTGAATGACCCTCGTATATATTTTTTAACTCGAGTTTCTGTTTTGATGTCAGATGTTGTGGGAGAACGGCATCAATGGGATCCTCGCCGATGAGATGGGACTGGGAAAGACAATCCAGTGCATCGCACACATCGCCATGATGGTCGAAAAGAAAGTCATGGGCCCTTTCTTGGTGGTGGCACCACTTTCCACTCTGCCCAACTGGATCAATGAGTTCAAGCGCTTCACACCAGAGGTACTCTAAGACGGTGGACTACTGAGTACATTGGCCTGACCTTCACACGCGATCTGTTGAACCCTCTGACCCCTCCCAAATGGCATGTTTGTAAAACTGACCCACCCACATGGGGACTAAGCAATAGTAAAACTTTAGAAAAAAAAATATTAAATTGACCAAATTTAAACATAGGTTTCACCAGGCACTTTTCCAGGTTCCGAGTTGCTTCCAGTGATGTGCAACATTTTCTGGTGGATGTCTTCATTGCAGATGAATAATGCATTGGTCATGCTTACGCTCGTTCGTTACAAAACATTTGAACATGCTTATTTTTCACATCCAAATGACTGACAGAACTACCTGGACATGAACTACTAGTCTAAGAAAAATTGAGATACCAATCAAATCTTGACTTTGGAGGATCATTGCAGCTCTCAAATACAGTATAATTCCAAAAATGAAATTGTCCATTCTAATTTATTTTGTCCTGCCGTCATTTGTCTCCTCTAGGTGTCTGTGCTGCTTTATCATGGCCCCCAAACTGAGAGGAGCAAACTGCTGAAGCACATACGCAAATCCCAGGGCCCCCTCAATATGTGTCCCGTCGTCGTTACCTCATTTGAGATTGCGATGATTGACCGAAAGTATCTTCAGGTATCATCTATATTCTGTCTTGTTTGACTGGGTCAAACATTTAATCCTCATGCACATTTAATAAAGGTACTCCAAATAGTGGATGCCAACCAAAAGGAAAGTTAGTGAAGGATTTTTTTTTTCCCTATTTAAAAGTACAAACTGATGCCAGTCTGTTCACCATTTTTTTTAAAAAACTGTTTTTTGTTCCTTCCAGCGCTGTCAGTGGAATTACTTAATTGTTGATGAAGGCCACAGAATCAAAAACCTCAACTGTCGACTAGTGCAGGAGTTGAAGATGCTGCCCACTGACAACAAGCTGCTGCTTACGGGGACTCCACTACAGAACAACTTGGCCGAGCTCTGGTCTCTTCTCAATTTTCTCTTACCTGAGGTCTTTGATGACCTGAAGAGGTAAGAGTTCTTAGAGCCACATTTTCGCCCACTAGTGTAGCGTAATTCTCAACAGTTCAGTGTGGAATGGAAAACCGTTTGAAAATTAACGGACTGGTGCAAACTTGGGCATAATGTGAGCCACATCGAGTCTCCTCCGCAGTCTGACTGGACCTATAATGTAAATGTGTATACATCACTCAGGTGAACTTAATTTTACCTTCACCAAACATTTGAATGCACATATTTGGTTTTCAGTGCTTTTTGCCCAACTTGCTGTTCTCTCTCAAGGAGTGGAATGGCAAAACTTAAATCAGTGTCCTGTCATTACTGCAGTGGAGGAAGAATAGGGAATCATCTCATAAGTCTCGTTATCTTTGACTTCAGCCTTCAAAAGGGATTGTGGAGCCTCAAGCACGAATGGGCATTAGCCTTATGTCTGGGCAAAAGCATGAAAAACTGCTTGGGTTGTCACCAGTTTAGAGGTGTAACACTTAATCACCAACTAATCAATTTGTCAAATTAATCGATTATATTCACCTATTATCTGATCCCCTTAATTCTTGCGAGGGTCACTGGTATGCTGGAGCCTATCCTGTGCTCGGGCAGTTGGCGGGGTACGCCCCTGAACTGGTTTCAAGCCAATCGCAGGGCACAAATAGACAGACAACCAATTGCGCTCACAATCACACCAAAGAGCGCCGACATTCCTCCCAATCAAAATCAGTGCTGGTCAGTGTTGTGTCCAAGGACCGGCAACTCGAGGCCAAGGCCCAAGCCAAGGACTTGAGGCCAAGGCCAAGGACTTGGAAAATTTTCCGAGGCAAGGCCAAGGACTTGAGAAATCTTCCGAGGCCAAGGCCAAGGACCAAGGACTGATTTTGAAGCCGAGGCCTAGCCGAGGATATGTATAAAACAATGCTATCATACCACTTGGCAGGTCTTCATGATTTGCAACACCCCACCATCATAACCCCTTGCACATGTCACTCCCTAACGCTTGAATGAAGTGTTTTTATTCAAAGAGTAGAACAGTCAGGGTACGTGTTATTTATACTGAGAAAAAAGTGATAGTGATAATTTTACAGTTTACCGGCAGCGAGTCCCAGGGACTCGCTGATCAGAAAAGTATGAGGCCCATTATGCATTGAGAGA